GTGTGGTTTGTGTGGAGAGCTTAGGAAGTAGCCGAGGGGAACGTGCACGGTGGGGGCTGTGGCTGAGCTGGGTGGCTGCTGAGTCAAGTGGACGATGCAGCAATTCGGGAAAGCCACCCCCTAGGATTATAGGTAGGTACGCTGAGGAATGGGCCTGAGGTAGGCTGTGGGGGAAGAAAGAGAAGAATTTTAAAGCATGGGAGGTGTGTGGCAGTTGGTAGGTACGACACCAAGTCTGTGGGACTTTGGGGCAGGGCGATGCATGGGGTTCCCTACGGTTACGGAGGAAATGATGGAAAAAGTGTGAAATAAGAGATGAAGAGTTTGGGTTTTGTTGTTGTGCTGATACTGTTTCTGCACTTTAAGAAACACCTTCAAGGATAGCTCCAGCTTACTGGAAATGTCTGTTATTGCAAGAATCACGTGCACACCTATTTGCACGACGTGATGCCTCCTTCACACAAAGTCGCACCCCACCCCTGTCACAGAAATACTGCGATGTCCCATGACTGTGCTGCTGCCATGGCTAAGGGTCTGTCAGGATGTCCTTTACTTCGGAATATCTTCTGATGAGTTTTAACTGTCTTAGGTAGTTGCTCAGTACAAAAAACGGTATGGAACTCTCTAATCAGAACCAAGTTTTGTATTTATTGAAGGAGTAAATCAAGAAAAATGGACTGTTTTCTGTTCTCTGCTACCTCAATTTTTTTCCAGTTTATAAGCTGTCTCCTCAAATACAGCCTTTCGAAGCTCTACAGTACTCAGCTTATCCTAAGACCTAGCATTGCAGCAGCGCTTGATTTTTATACACGAGGTGTGATTTGTGAACTTTAGGAAGCACAAGACACCGTCACCGGCCATAGCGCACTATTCAGCAGCTTTTCACAGACCCTCAGTTCAGTGTTACCCTTGTTTCTGTTTCCCTGCGTTTCGCTGTGCTTGCAGAATTCAGCGTTTTCAGCTTCTTCGTTTCCTTTTCCAGGCTGCTTTGCTGAACTCCTTCCCCGCCATCTTCGACGAGCTGTTGCAGATGTTCACGGTGCAGGAAGTAGCAGAGTTCGTGCGGGGCACTCTGGGCAGCATGCCCAGCACCGTGCACATCGGGCAGTCCATGGATGTTGTTAAGCTGCAGTCTATCGCACGCACTGTCGACAGCCGCCTCTTCTCCTTCTCAGGTAGAGAGCAGTATCTGAGGCTCCGTCTTGCTGCCAGGAGTAGGGACGTGGTGCATTTCTTTTGCTCGGTAATTCTTTATCTTGGCAGCATCGCTGTTATGGAGGACCCGCAGTGAATATATGTACGCTGCCCTATGGCAGGAAGCGTTTATCAATCCATTATGCATAAGTTGTAGTTACTAAAGGTTGATAAAAACAGGTACATTAATAAGTCACCTTACCGAAACTGCCGACTGTCACTGGATCCTTGGTACTACTCTTCTGTTGCTGTCCTGCTCAGGAAGGTAACCTCCCTTCCCAGCAAGCTCAGGGTCTGAGGAAGAGAAACAGGGAGATCAAGTTATGTGAGAAACCCACCACGTTCTTCTTAAATTATGTTAATCATTGCATTACAACTCTAATATTTCTTCAGCTCAGCACACCAGTCATCTTAAAGAATTAATTGAATGAAGAAGGGTTGAAGATTGTGAGTCTATTTCATACATAAAGGTCTGAAAGAAGTTAAGAAGGTAATAGTGGGAGATAAAAGCACCATTGGGCTTATCTTCCCTGTAGTGAGGATCTCAAGATAGTGCACTCAAATTGTTCTACTCACTGCAAGGTGAGAACAATGACACAGAATCGTGTTTAAACTCTCCACTGTAATTGTTTATAAACATTTGTTTCCTTAAATTTGAAATTCATCTCAAAACATACAAGAGAGTGTAGAGAACGAGTAGATCAGCCCAAAGATGGCTGTGAAACAGACAGTGAATTTTACCTAATTATAGTGTTTTGAACCAATTGGTAAAAACCATTTCTCTTGGTGGGTGCCAGCTTATGGGCAAAAGCCTCTTCTGTCTTCTCACTAAAGCTAGGTTTAACTTTACCCACAGGGCCCAGGGCTTTAGTCCTTCCCATTAACCTACATTTCTCCTTTACAATGCCACCGGCAACTAATGATGCGTTCAGCTGCTGCACAGCACCGTGACACCGCTACAGCATCAAAGCTCAGCGCTCAGGCAGCTATGACAGGACACCTGCCACATTTTCCACCCAGCGCAGTGGTAGAGCCCTGTCCTGTTGCTTCCCATGGAAGCAGGACCTGATGCTCCCAAGTCAACCATCTCCCACATCCTCTCTGCCCCTGGGAAGATGAATCTAGTTTTCCATGTCACCTTTTGCCTGCCCACCTGTTCTTCAGGTCTGGCAGTTAAATGAAGATGGACTCTCTTGTTCAGGCCTCCCACATGGTGATGGCTTGTTTTGCTTCCCTCTCTCCTATCAGCCCGCTTGCTGACATCCTGTCCCGTCTCTTCCCCCTGACCCTGTTTTGGCTACTGGTTTCTGCAGCTGCCACCTGCTCTCCCGTCTCGGATGGGATGGAGGTTCACAAGCCAGCTAGAAGAAGAACCAGCCAGTTTCCAAGAGGCGTGTGCTGGAGAAGCTGTGTTAGCTGTGACAGTAGAGCTGGAAGTGAGGGAGGGTTTGCACAACAGACATCAGCATTAGAAAGTGTCGGTTCACCGCCTGTTTCCAAGCTGAGTCGCTGTTGGGGACATGCGTGTACTGCGTTTGAACTTCTGAGACTAGGTGTGCTGTCATCCTGAGATTCTTGGAAGTGTAGGGTACTACAAGCTGCACCAGTTACTCAAGCATACTGTGTATCTGTAGGCTGTTTTGGGTGCCAAAAGGCTGCTGGCTGGGATGGTTAAAATTGAATTTTCTTCTGGCTGGTTTTCCTTCTTTCAGAATCCCGGCGCATCCTGCTACCTGTGGTTCTTCACCACATTCACCTTCACCTACGACAGCAGAAGGAGCTGCTTATCTGCTCTGGGATCCTCAGTAGTATCTTCTCCATAATCAAGACCAGCTCTTTGGTAATTTGCTGCTGGATTTCTTTTTTATTTTATTGCTAATCGCACCACTGATGTAGTAAAATGATAACTGAGGGATTTTTATAAGTTTATTCTGTTTTTTCAAAGATTGTTTTACAAACAAAATTCTGCTAAACCATCTGAAATGAGGGTCTGCTTGTGTGGGTCTGACTCAGAGCAGTCTCATTACACACTGTTCTTGCGCTTAGGAGGGGGAAAAAAAAGCATACGCATTTACCAGGTTTGACACTGTTTAATTTTCTTCACTCAAGCCCAGAACTTTGATGTCAGTGGAGGTTAAAAGCTCTGCGCAGCCCTAGGGCTTGTAGTTCTGCAAGAGAGTAAATAGCACTTTGTGATTCGTGTTAAGAGAATACCGTGAAATTATCCAGTCGCTGAAATCCCACTTACTTCTGGAAATTGCTGCTGAGTTTAAGCATCCAGCTTGGATGATCCTAATACTCTGATCTCAAACGGTAACTTGATCATTTAAAAGCAATGCTCACAGAGGGTGGTGAGTTTCCCCACCTGACTCTAAAGGAGGAAGCTCGTGGTGCCAAATATAACTCCAATCGATGTGTATTTCCACTTACAAGTTACAGGTCTGTGTGAAAGGGATGAGATGGAATGTGTCATGGTAATAAGCTAAAATAGCACTGCCATGGAATGAAGGTTCCTCAGCATCATTTCATCCCGCTGTGTTCTAGAGCGTATGCAGACCTTTGATTATAGATTTACCTTTAGGGCTGTGAGCCAGTTTCCATCAGAGACTGACAGGTAACACATACACTGGCGCCGATGAGGAATTGGATTGTGCTGCTTTGAACCAGTTTCGGAGCTCTCTATCAAAACCAGTTTGTGGTGTGGCTGACTCTTTGCCCATTCCGTTCTCTCCAGTTTCTAACTCTCTGTTTGCTCACCGCTTTACTGTAGGAGGGCGATGTCGTGGAGGAGGTTGAGATGATGGTGGAGAGCCTCCTGGATGTGCTTTTACAAACTCTGCTTACAATCATGAGTAAATCGCAGTCTCAGGAGGCGGTAAGAGGGCAGCGTTGCCCGCAGTGCACAGCAGAAATCACTGTTAGTAACTAACAATCAGTTTCTATTTCCTGCTTCTCTAACCTTTGGTTCAGTCCCTCACCACCACCAGCACCTCATTATCATCTCTGCTGCATGAATA